CCCCAAAACCCCAAAACCCCAAAACCCCTAACTGGGAATTTAGAGTTGAAGATTATACAGAAAGGGGACTGGGCACATTGGCTAGGGGTGGGACTGAGTTTAGTGGGATTTTGGGGAAGGGGTATTTTTGGGGATTGGAGGGGGAAATTGGGGCTTGAGAGGGGGGTGTAGGGGGTTAAGGGATTAGAGGTGGTAGGTGAGCTTGGATTTGGGTAATTTTGGAGGGTTATATGGAAGGTCTTGGTGTTGGGGTAGAAGTTGGGTATGATGAAATAGATTCATTACTGTTGGATGGATGGTTTATGAGGTTTCTGAAAAGTGAGTGCTTTTGAATCTAGCTGGAGGTATTATGATATCTAAATTAGCACTGCCTTGTTAAACCTTTGGATGTCTAAAAAGCAATGACGATGTACTAAAAGAACTCTTTTTACAGTAATAAAAGTAACTTGAGTTCTCTCTTCATTCTTATTTTAGCCTAGCCCTAGCAGTTGATGTTAAAATTTAGTCTTTAAAGGGATGATTCTTAGACTTTAGTTCAGAGATTAAGATAGGTAATCAAATTTTATTCCCAAAATTCAAGTTCTAGTATCTCTTCACTGTCCTTCATATTATCTAAAATGATCATTCATACTTCAAACGGTTCATCCAAGATGCTCCCATTTAGTATCAGAAAATTGTAATAAATGAAGAGTTTACTCCATTCTGAAACAATGGTGGATTAGAAGTCGATGCTAGAAGCCCAGAGCCACCCAGAATCAACAAGTTATGGGAAATTTTAGAGGATTAATTAATGCCTGTCTGAATCTCCCAATGTGTACGACTTAGTGAAATCTTCTCTGATGAGCCTATAGAAAATTAGTCTAGCCTTAAGTTAAGATACCGTGACTGTGTATTTCTCAGTGAACTTCTTGCCGCAATGATTTCACTCGTAAACTCTCCTAGCCTCTAAGTCTGGCTGAGAGTGCTTCAACAAGTGCTTCTTCAAGTTTACCTTTTGGGTGTACTTTTTAGAGCAAAGATGGCACTGATATGGTCTGAACTTGAAATGAAGTCTTATATGTCTGGTTCGAGCTCTAGTAGTCCTAAAGAGCTTCTCACAGCCAGCATAAGTGCAGTAGTACTTATTTCTTGTCCCATAAGGAGCACTTGAGTGTGCGGAATTTCTTCTCTGAATATTCGAGTCTATAAATAAGCTGAAAGCTTCTTACGATTCATTCCGGATTCTGTTAAATTTTCACCCATGGCTGAGGTGCTGTTAATTTTTCCATGAAGTTCCTATCGAAATATTAGGATGAAGATTATGAAATCTTACCATCTGCTTAGAAGAGTCCTGGCTAACTTTGGTCTCTTTATTATAACACTCCGGAATGGAAGAGAGCCTTTTATGTTGAAGAGGTAGTAAAATAGATCGAGACTTGGCCAATAAGAAGTCAAGACCATTAACTTCAAACTCTCACATGCAATAATTATTCATAAGACTTTCTAATGCTATGGAGCTTTCCAACACCTCTTTCTGAAGTACTAAGTCTTGTTCCTGAACTCTTTTCGACTCTATAATAATTGTATAATTGACAATTTAGGAAATTAATTCATGAATTTGCAATAATCCTTATTTGGGTAGAAATTTATAAATTCATTGAGATGATAAAGTTTCTAATAGTACTTTCATAACTAAATATCCTTTCAAAGTTCAAATACCCTAAAAATTGCAGGAATTATGGAAAATTTAATGTCCAGCAGAAATAGAAAATTATAGATCTGCAGGACTCTCTTCTTGCTAATTTGTCGCCACTTAGGACTTTGAGACATAAGCTCGAAAATATTGTTCAGAAGTGGCATCAGCAAAGAGAAGCCTCTGCCTCTAGTGGTACTTGACGAAGTATTTTTGTACCTGGCGTAGCATCGATGGATTTGAACAGTCTGCTCTTGTTGCAATTTGCAGTCTTGATGGTCCTTCTCTTAAATATCATTAATAATTATTAAGCTCAATGCATCATATCTTATATGGGGTTTTGGGGTTTTGGGGTTTTGGGG